TTATTTAGGGACGCCTGGGTGGCTCAGTCAGTTAAGTGTCTGCCTTCAGCTCAGGTCATGATCCCAGGGTCCTGGGATCGAGTCCCACATTGGACTCCTTGCTCAGCAGGGAGCCTGCTTCTCCCTCCGCCTGCTGCACCCCCTGCTTGTGCTCTCTTCCCCCCACAAATAAATAAAATCTCTAAAAAATATATTTATTTAATCTCTACACCCAACATGGGGCTCGAACTCATGACTCTGGGATCAGTATTCACACACCCTTCCAACTGAGCCAGCCAGGCGCCCCAATAGGGTTGGTCTTTGAAGAGAAAAAATCAACAGGCCCTTTAAGATGTGAGGGCCAATGGAAATTTGTGTGTTATGTGAGGAATAAGGTTCAAATTCAGAATGTGAAAGAGTCTCTAAAGCTGAGGTTTCAACCAGTTATCAAGCCCCAGAAATACTGGACTTTGCTGAGAGCTCAGCAACCTTTTAAAAGTCCTCTTTTCAGGCGCCCGGGTGGCTCAGTTGTTAAGCATCTGCCTTGGGCTCACGTCATGATCCCAGGGTCCTGGGATCGAGCCCCATATCAGGCTCCCTGCTCATTGGGAAGCCTGCTTCTCCCTCTCCCACTCCCCCTGCTTGTGTTCCTGCTCTCGCTATCTCTCTCTCTGTGAAATAAATAAATAAAATCTTAAAAAATAAAAAATAAAAGTCCTCTTTTCATCCTGTTATATCTAAACCTAATTTAGTCAAGTTCGTCTGAATAAGAAAACCCATTCACTCAAGACCTGCTAAAAGGCAGCGTTCAATGATGCATCTGGAAGCAAGGACAGAGACTCTGTTTTGATTGTTTGGATCACTTTAAGCTTACCACATCAAACTGTTTCCGGTCCAGGGGCAAAAAGCTTTTCCCGTTGGCGAGATAAAAATTATTGCTCAAGACTGCAGTCCGAAGGCCTTTTGCCCGAATTTGAGTTATGGCCTCAGTCATCACTGGGAACTGCTGTGCCGCTTGCTCACTGGTCAGCAGAGAGAAAAAGGAGGCCACAGGTACAGAAGTCTTTGCCTAAAAGTGGGGAGGGGAGAGGAGTACCAACAATAATTAGAAGGAGGATGAACCGCTTATCACCAACAGAGAAAATATTGCTACCTAAAGGAATTCTCCTTCGGCCCTTGTGCAGAACTTTGTGTACAGGGTTGTAAGGACTGACTTCGAGTGCCTCTGGTGAGGGAATGGAGCTATTTATATCAATATTCCAGTTAAATGAATTCCTTATTTCACTCATGGATTGGCAACCTTCAAAAGTATCAACCCCAAAAGTACATGAAGCAGATCTAATTTAATTCTTAATGATCCGGAAGACATGTAATGATTTTCTATTGCCTGAGCATCACCACTATGAACTTCAGTTTCGGACCCATTTTTCATTTTTAAATTCAACCTACTCAGGTTTTGAAAACTCATCATATTTCAAAATCTGCAAAGGCAAGTCTGCGATTTTACACGATCACACACACACACACACACACTGTAGAACAGCTTCATTGAAATACAATTCACATACTGCACAGTTCACCCATAAATTGTATGATTCAGTTTTTAATATGTTCACAAAGTTGTGTGACCATCACCACAATCAATTTTAGACCATTTTCATCACCCTGAAAAGAAACCCCATATATACTGGCAGTCATTACCCATCCTACCCCCAACTTCCCAGTACTCTCAGTCCTAGAAAATCAGTAATTTACTTTCTTTTCCTATAGATTTCCCTATTCTGGGCATTTCATATAAATGGAATCATACAGGATGTGGTCTTTTTTGACCAGCTTCTTTCTTTCATTTAGCACAATGTTTTACATATATATTTGAAATTGTAGTAAAATATACATAACAAAACATTTACTATTTTAACCACTTTAAGTGTGTAGTTGGGTGGTATTAAGTACATTTGTTATTGTGCAATCATTACCACCACTGGATCCACAGAACTTTGTTTACTATATTTTAAATCATATTTTAGTAGGATTACTGTGAAGTTTACACTTGAGTTAATGTAAATAAAGAACTTAGAACAGGGGCACCTGGGTAGCTCAGTCAGTTAAAGAGCTGCCCTCAGCTCAGGTCATGATTCCAGGGTCCTGGGATCAAGCCCTGTGTCGGGCTCCCTGCTCGGCGGGGAGCCTGCTTCTCCCTCTCCTCCCCACTAGTGCTTGCTCTCATGATCTCTGTCTCTCTCACTCAAATAAATAAAATCTTAAAAAAAAAAAAGAACTTAGAACAATGCATAGTACAGAGAAAAGGTTCAATATTATTGCTTTATTTTTTTTAATTAAAAAAAAATCTTTAAAAATTTATTTATTTGAGAGAGAAGAGAGACAACATGAGCAGGAGGGGCAGAGGCAGAGGGAGAGAGAGAATCTCAAGCAGACTCCACGCTGAGCACGGAGCCCAATGCAGGGCTCAATCCCAGGACCCTGAGATCATGACCTGAGCCAAAACCAAGAGCTGGACGCTTAACCTACTGTGCCACCCAGGCACCCCTTATTATTGCTTTAAATAAGCTTTCTAATCAAAGCCGTTATGCAGACAGCTCCTATTACAGATGAACAGCAGCTGATGGAGGAGCTTAGTAAAGAATACTTTTATATATTCATATATGTAGCTAAAGTTGAGTACCTGGGGATGGAAGAAATACATTAAAAACTTGTAACATAAATGGGTAATGGGTGTTAAGGAGGGCACTTGTGATGAGCACTGGGTGTTATATGCAAGTGATGAATCACTAAATTCTCCTGAAACTAATATTACACTGTATGTTAACCAACTAAAATTTAAATAAAAACTTGAAAAAAACCAACTGACCAAACCAAACAAAATAAATAAAAACTTGATATATTAAAAAAAACACAAAAAACCTTACAATAGATTATTAGGTTTTTACTTTTTTATTTGCAGCTTAATCAACTTAATGGGTGAGTATGGCATCCACCCATTTGGGAAAAAGAGTATGTAAATTCAAATGTGTTTATCACTCACAATGTCAGAGCAAAGTCTCCCAAATTCTTGCAAGAAATCCTCTGTTGTTATCTCTCCCCTCGTAAGTTTCATCCAGGGCCCATTTTCGCCACCTAAGATCCAGGCCTTCCGTATAGTTCCAGGAGGGATATGATTTTGTAGCTCCCATTCTATAGGAAGTAAAATATGCAATGAGTGAAGAACATTGGCAGATGGCTGGGCTTTGGGAAGCCCTGGGGAATTACTGAACCAGTCCCTGAGGCACTGCTGTGGTGCCAGGTGGATTCTGCTGGGAATCTGAAGAAATTCAGGAAATGCAAAATCTCAGCCTTAAGCCTCCAAGGCAACAGTGATACCGAGGGGATGCAGCTAAGTGTCAGGTCCTTACCACCTGCTTGACGTGACTCTGGACACTGCGTTATGCATTTTCTTCCTGGGTCTCTCATTAGCTGGCTCACTCACACGGTCCTGCCATGTGGTAAGGAAATACATGCGTAATAAGCTGGATTCTGGCAGCACTTGCAAACAAGCCTGTCATTTTGTAAACTGCAGTAATCCTGGATGGCAGTGGGGCTGGTGGTACACGGGAACGTTCGCTTGGAGGATGCCGTCTTTGTGGACTAAAGAAAATTTCTATCCACAAGAAGCTCAGTCAGTGAATGGATCAACATTCATGTACACTGGGAACCTTTAGACAGGGGCTGCTTTTTCTTGTACAAGGTTGTTTTTTCTTTCTAAAATATAGCTGCTATGGGGCAAAAATATGTAAGGTAATCATAATTATTTCTAAGACATAATCTTTACACATTTTTTCTTGTTTTTTTTTTTTTCTTTTAAAGATTTTATTTATTTATTTGAGACAGAGAGAATGAGAGAGAGAGCACATGAGAGGGGGGAGGGTCAGAGGGAGAAGCAGGCTCCCTGCCGAGCAGGGAGCCCGATGCGGGACTCGATCCAGGGACTCCAGGATCATGACCTGAGCCGAAGGCAGTCGCCCAACCAACTGAGCCACCCAGGCGCCCCTCTTGTTTTGATAAAGTAGGGCTTGTGCATTGAAAATATCTGACTATAGAAAGTGTAAAAAAAGTAAAATGACAAGCAATCTCACCCTTCAGAAATAATCAATGTTACTAATCTGATCTATATCTTTCAAGAATAGCAAGACTTTTTTTTTTTTTTTCCTGAGAGAGAGAGCATGAACACAGGGGAGTGGGGAGGGGCTAAGGGGGAGAGAGAAAGAATCTTAAGCTGACTCCACGGAGCCCGATGAGGGGCTCAATCCTACCACTGTGAGATCATAACCTGAGCCAAAACCAAGAGTCGATGCTTAATGGACTGAGCCAGCCAGGTGCCCCGAGAATAGCAAGACTTTTAAAGCTCAATCCAAATAATCATACTTGTTTAATTTGAGAACTAAAGTGTGTAACATTTTTTTTAATGTTTTATTTATTTATTCATGAGAGTCAGAGAGAGAGAGAGAGAGGCAGAAGCAGAGGGAGAAGCAGGCTCCCCACCCAGCAGGGAGCCCGATGTAGGACTCGATCCCAGGACCCTAGGATCATGACCTGAGCCGAAGGCAGATGCTTAACCATCTGAGCCACCCAGGCGGCCCAAGTGTGTAACATTTTTTATGGTCTGAGAGTTGGCAAGCACATAAGGAAACTGGTACTCTCATATACTGTTGATGAGAGTGGAAAAAAGTACAACCTCTATGGATAGCAAAATTTTAAATGTATATTTGATATAGTAATTCCACTTTCTAGGAATTTCTCCCACAGATAGATCTATAAAAGTCAGCAAAGAGTATGTATAAGGCTGTGCAGAATTGCAGAATTGTAATCAAAAGAATCAGAGGGTGCCTGGGTGGCTCAGTCGGTTAAGTGTCTGCCTTAGGCTCAGGTCATGATCTCGGGATCTTGGGATCAAGTCCAGAGTTGGGTTCCCTGCGGAGCCCTCCCTCTGCCCCTCCTACCACTCGTTCTCTCTCTCTCAAATAAATAAAATCTTAAAAAAAAAAAAGAACCAGAAACTTAAATGTATAATAAATGTTAAATCGGGGCGCCTGGGTGGCTCAGTCGTTAAGCATCTGCCTTCAGCTCAGGTCACGATCCCGGGGTCCTGGAATCGAGCCCCGCATCGGGCTCCCTGCTTGTCGGGGAGCCTGCTTCTCCCTCTCCC